GGGGGGGCGGCCCAGCCGCCCCGGCCGCGGGCAGGTGCGTGGAGGAGTCGCTGAGGAGAGCTGGGCTCGGCGCCGGCGGATCCCGCCCTGACCCCGGAGTTGGTGGGGTGTCCCCGGGTTGGTGAGGCGTTAGTCTCGGCGCTTTCAGTTTTCGTCAGGAATGGGGAACGGGCGTTTGGGGTTTGTCGTTGCTGGAAATGCCGGAGCGGGGGTTAGTTACCTGGAAAGCGGTGGTGGCAGTGGCTGTCGGCGTGCTCCACCCGGAGGCATGAAGGAGCCTCCAGGAGCTTGGGCATCCCTCCTTGGAGGGGCTGGCGTACCCCCGGCCTCCCCTCTCACGGAGGCCGCCAGCCCCTCTGAGGCAGCCCAGGCCCTTGCGGGGGTCAGTCTGCCATGTCGTGCCCCCGCGGGCCTTAAACGCAAGCGCCGGAGCAGAAGCGAAGAGCTGTCTAGGAGCGGGGTCCTCTTTCCCGCCTTTGCGCAGGGGGTAACTTGTGAGGCCTCTGTCCAAAATCCGGCCCTTTCGTTGAGACTGGACCAGATAACTAAAGGTGCAAGAATCTCAAATTTGGAGGCTTTTTTGTGAACCTGGTGATAAATGGGCAGAGCTGTAGTCAAGATTAGAATTACTATAGAGACTTTTGAAATAGGTGGTGATTATGCACTGACTGATTAACTCGCCTGTCTTCCTGGGCAGCTGTCGGCATTTGGTGAGCAAATGTCTCCACACCACGGTGGGGTTTCTGAAGAAAACTGGAACTGAGCACCAGTGGTTGGAGCGGCACTTGAAGGATCCCTTTGTCAAGGCAACGAAGCGGCAGAATTACCGTTGCCGAAGTGCCTTCAAATTACTGGAAATTGATGACAAGTTTCAAATTCTTCGTCCAGGGCTTTCTGTTCTTGACTGTGGAGCGGCGCCTGGTGCTTGGAGCCAGGTTGCTGTAGAGAGGGTCAACGCCTTAGGTACTGGTAAGTGCATGTTTTTGGCAGGCAGGATAGGGATTACACTTGTCTTGAAGCGTGTGAGAAAACTCAGCTGTGATGGTGGTGGTGTGGGGAAGGGACATGGGTACTGGCAAATGCCAGAGTCAGTGAGAGAAGCATGAAGGTGTGTGCCTACATGGCCGTGAAGAATAGTAAATCTTGATATGGTCTGAAGAAATCATATTTGTGAAATAAAAACTTATTATGTGGTGATAGTGTTCTGATTAACTGTTGTGGGGAAGATCCCTTCACGCAGTTCGGAAACTGGTGTGGCCTCCAGCAGAGAACTTGGCTTTTCTGAATTTTTATTTCCCTTCTTGAAAAACAGTAGTAACCACTATGTACGGTTTATGTGTTCTAAGCCATTAATATTTACAAGAGAAGGTCTTATCATCTGTACTGTTGTCCGGGATTTCTGGACTGTCAGCCTTGAAAGAGCAGAAGAAAAACATGAAAAATAGTCCTTGCTTATCCAAAGTTACGTGACTTTTCATGTTTTGAATGGATTAGCTTATAGCAAACCATCCATCCAGATGCACGCAGCAAACTGTCCAAGGACAAGAAGACCAGACATAGCAGGTGATATGTTTTTTGTTTATTGACTAGCATGGAGCTCAGGCATATGCAGGTTGTTTGCAACCATTATGATTGTTCAGTGTGTCATTCATTCTTATAATCTAGATCCTGCTGTCCCCATTGGCTTCGTCCTTGGCGTTGACCTCCTGCGGATTTCTCCTCTGGAAGGGGCAGTCTTCCTGTCGGAGACTGACATTGCAGACCCAAGGACGCTGAGGACAATTCAGAGTCTGCTTCCTGCAGAGAAGGTGGATGTTATCTTGAGCGATATGGCGCCTAATGCAACAGGCATTAAAGAACTGGATCATCAGAAATTGATCAATCTATGTTTAGGCCTTCTGAGTCTGTCCCGAAGTATTTTAAAGCCGAAAGGAACGATGCTCTGTAAATTCTGGGATGGACATGAGTCCCGTCTTCTGCAAAACAGACTGAAGGAGCAGTTCCAAGACGTGAGGACTATAAAGCCTCAGGCCAGCCGGAAGGACTCTGCTGAATCTTATTATTTGGCAAGACTGTACAAAGGGAAGTGAAAGCTGAGAACTGCAGATTATCGAACAGGTGATCACTGATTGGAAATCTGAATTTGGTGTGTGTTTAAAGAAAAATCCCACCATTAAGACCCTGGGAAAATCTGCCACAATTCTTATGAAGTACATCACGCTTTTCAATACAAAAATAAACCAGGGTGGTGTCCAACTGAGTTTATCTGCTAATTATACAAGCAGAGACATCCAATCTAGCTTCTCACCTGTGGAGATAACAGTTGGGAATGGAGAGGAGTAATATGAAAGGCAACCTCTGGGGCTGGAGTAATGGAAATGAAAATAAAACAGTGATTGTATGAGTTTTTAATGTGTGCTTGAAAATCATCACACTATTAATGTTGTCATATGTGAGACTAACCATAAAGGCGGTTGTCAGAATGAGAGGGACCAGCAAGGGGAGTTTGAGCCAATTTATTGCCTCTTCATCTTTCTTAAAAGCTGGTGCAATTTATTAGCACATGTAAGAATAGGTAACGTTTTTGTGTGTGTCCGGATCTGCATCGTCACGTACGTTCTGTAATGCAGCCCCTCAGGACGTACGACTGACTCTGGAATATTCAGCCTGATGGCTCTGCTGCATTTTCTAAAGACACAGGTTATATTTAGAAATTGCTACTTCATGGTACTCGTAAATCTGGCAAATGACAGTAGGGCAGGGTCATCGCTACTAAGAAGATAATTTCCCCTGTGTTTTCAGTATTGTTTTATATTTGACCAGTGGTGTTTGTTAGGTGAAATGACAAGATGTTCCTTGGATCCCAGACAGGGGGAATTACTGCTGGAATTGCTAGAATTCTGTTGCAAAAATAAATTTAGCCACTGCCTTATCTGGAAGTGACAACTTTTACATTAAATAGCACTTTGATCAGGCCGACTGTGGCATGAGTTTTAAGAGGGGCTGGTGGCACTGTCTGTTTTGAAGGCTTCTGGATCTTTCTCATTATAAACATCTCATTTGGGATTATCAAACTTTAACTGCTTTGAAACCTCCCGATCTGGATCTCCGTACCGAATGGTGTGCCTGAAGGTGTGAGCCCAACAGCCTGAACCGGGGAGCTGGGTGTTGCTTTGTGTATGTTTGGGAAGGCAAAAATAAATAAAAATACCCAGATGTCTTCGAGGAACTTCCTTACCTGCCATGCGGTGGGGGGACGGGGCGCTCTCCCTGCTGCTCCTCCTCTGCCCGAGCAGGAGCCTTGCAGCTCGGTCGCGGGGACGTACGGGGGACACAGCGGGTTTTTGTGGGGTTTTTTTTTTTGGATTGGGGAGGCTGAGCGCGAAGCTCTTTCGCCCCGAGACGGAGCGTTACGGTACGGCACGGCGGGGAGGCCGCGGGGGGGGATTGCGCGCCTACTCCCGTCGTTACGGCGGGCGGCGCCGCTGTTCTCGCGATAGCTGGGCGCCAGTTCCCGTGAGATCTCGGCGCCGGGGCGAGGAGGGAGATCCAAGCGGGGCGCGCGCCGTCGCCCGCGGCCGGTGAGGGAACGCGTGAGGGCGGGCGGGGAGGCCGCCGGCTCCGCTCCGCTCCGCTCCGCTCGGCTTGGCCCGGCCCGGCCCTCCCACCCCGCTCACCGCCCCTTGGCCGCCGAGCCCGGCGGTGTGGGAGCGGCGAAGGGAGGCTGTGCCGTCTCCCCGTTCCTCCCACCCCCGGGCGGCCGCTCGCCGTCCCCGCAAGCGGGGTAGGGCTGTGGTGACCGCCGAGGCCCCCGCTCTCCCTCTGCCGCCCTACGGGGGGAGGTCTGTGAGGGCGAACCCCTCCCCGCGGTGCCCAGGGCGGCCCGGCTGCGGGGGAGCAGCCCCCTGCCCGCCGCGGCCGCTGCCGGGGGGTGGGGGGTCCCTTGGTGCCCTGGAAGGGAGCCTTTGCCGAAGGGTTTTCTGCAGCGGGGAGGTGGGAGGGACGTGTCTTCTTAATTTTTAGCGCTGTTCTTAATTTCAAAATAGGCTTGCTGGGGCACGGTTACCTGTTGGCCGTGGTCTCTCTTGAATTTATTTGCTTGCGGTACTGAAGTACTTATTTTGAGTAAACTTTTTCGTTTGGGTTTTGGCTTTTGCGTTGCCTGCGTGCTTCTGTTGTGCCTCCTCTTTGTGATGATATACATCCAAAGAATAAATGCTGTGTTGCCCTGAGACTGCATGAGCCCGAAAGTTAGCCCCCACCAAGTCTGTGTCTCTGGTACAAGCCTATGTCAAAGTGGTGGGTTGCCTTTCCTGGTCCTAACCTTCTTCTGTGCTTCTGGGGCTTTGTGGGCATGCAGTCACCAGAGGGACTCACTGAAGGCTTCCTCAAGGCTTTTCTGAGCTCCAGGCATGATTTGGTTTTGGCCTTTTAGTTAGTACCCTTCCAAATTTGAAGGAAGAATTGCAAAAACTTTTACATGACCGAGGAGGCACTGTTTTACTTATAGAAGCGATCTGTGAACTTGGGAAGTCTTGTTGCTGCAAGTTAGGTTCCAAAGTGCTTTTTGGAAACCAGAACCAAGTTGTGTAGAGGGAAGGGTTTGCTGCTAATAGGGAATTAGTTCTCCCCCCCCATCAGCCTCAAACTTTTGGAGGAAGAGTATTGAGTTCTGTTTGTTAGTGTTAGGTGCTGTAGATCTTCATGTCCTACAATGTTAACTTGTATCCCAGAATCTATCTTGATTGTATAGGAGAGGAGAATTTGATTTTGTATGACTCATGACAGCTCTTAATTGTACGCTTATGGGCTGAGATTCAGGGGAGAATGTATTTAAATAAAATCAAACCATTTCAGGTAGAAAGCTCAGCGAAGAACAGGCTGTCTTGCATCAGTTTCTCATTTCGGAGACCTACAGCTTCAGCCTTGGTTGGATACTGTTTTCTGTTTCAAGCTGATCCCAGCAGTGATCTGTGGATCCCAGCAGTGACTGACAGATTGGGTTTTGTACCCTGTAAATTGGAAGACCTTGCATTTAGTGTTTCCTCAGGGCAGTCTTTTTTTAGCAAAGCAGCCAGTATACAGCAGGTTGCTCTGAATGTTTTGCTGATGACTTTCTGTGTATTTCCAGAGCCATGGAGGACTTGGAAGATAATACTACTGTCTTCTCCACACTGAGATCCCTCAACAACTTTATTTCACAGCGTATGGAGGGGGTGTCTGGGCTGGCTACGCCAGGATCTTCTCAAAGCTCCTTACAGATTCAGTACCAGCAGAGGATGCAGGTGAGGTGTCTTCAGCTTGGTGATGCCTGCAGTATCATTTCAGTGTGGTTGTATATTCCTTTTGATTCCAGGAATTGGGATTGATTTAATTAAGATCTGACCATTCTTTCTAAAATTGATATTCATGCAAGCTCACTAATGGAAGCTTGCTTTTGGTCAACATTCCAGAATCTTTAATTTTTTTTAAAATGTCAGACATACTTATTTCTGTTTTGTAAAAATTTAAGGTCCTTTGAATTTCTTCCCTGCTAGTTATCTGTATACCAGCTCAGGAAATTAAATTGTAAGTTGTTTTCATATTGCTAAACAAAGGAGCTTTGTATCTGCTAATATTTTTCTAGTAAGTCACTTTTTTACCTTTTTTCACAATCTTCCTTAAAGTTTCTTTGCCTGGACACGTACAGGAGACTTGCATTGTGCTATGGCTTTGATGAGCTAACCAGTTGTGCTTTCTTGTCCACTTCTGTTCGTATCCATGTGGGTTTTTTGACTTTTTCCTGTAAGCTGCCTCATGCTCGTAAAGCATGACATAAGTTGACATCTTGGATCATGGATATTTTTTAGGCTGGAATGAAGTTTCTGTATTCTGTATCTTAATATAATTTCTATTTCAGTCTCTAAGTATAAAATAAGCTTACTTTCTTTTTAATGTAAATCTGCTTTGCATTTGGAGTGTTGACAAAATTCTATGCATTTTCTGTCTGTGGTACATCTCTGGTTACAGAGATGGTTAGAGGAGACTCGTTGGTTAGACAGTCTTCATTAGCTGTGTGTTGAATGTACATTGCTTAGATGTGAGGTATTGTCTAATATTGTCTGTGCTCTAAGGTAATTTGAATGAAAAAATGAAGCGTAATGTGCTAGCAGGTAGTGGAAAAACGTTACTTTGCTCATCAGTTAAATTTCATGGGGAGCATGATCTCTGCTTCTTGATTAGCTGCTGTTACTTCTATGAGGCTTGGGGAGTTAACAATTACCTTTTTTTAGATAGAGAAGTACATTTTGTCAGAGTACCTCTAGAGATTGAATGAGAAATTCTGAATTAAGAACTTGGAATTTGCTTCTTTCCAACTAACATTGATTTGATGTGGGTTTCTGAGTGTGGTGTTGAACTCTTGGTTTCCTCATCTGCAGTTGGTGTGAGAAGTACCACAAATACGGTGATAGTTTCCTTGTAATTTGTAAAATGGCATGCAAGTGACAGCTGAACAGTACAGGGTGGGAGATACTGATATTATTGCAATGCTGTTAATGGTGTGTAATGTCCCTCTTCACACATGAACTGGTCAGTTGGAAGAACAAGCTGGGCAGATCCACTCCAAATCCCAGCTCCTGCAGGTGGAACGAGAGAAAATGCAGATGGAACTTAGCCACAAACGAGCTCGCATTGAGCTAGAGAAGGCAGCTAATACCAATGCCAGAAACTATGAGGTAAGTATGACGGTTGCAGATGGCTTGATATCATAGGCCTAAGTCAGAACATATGTAGTGCATCTACGTTGGTGTTTTAGTTTGGATCAGGGATATGCTCTTGACTTCTCATGTGCTGTGCTTTGGTTTGCAGTGGTGTGCCTCAGAATGTGTATAGTCAACTTTTTTTGGATGAAACTAAACTGAAAGATGCAGTCCAGGAGCAAGCCTAGTGTTCTCCAACTGATAATGGACACTGTCTTCAGAGCAAGACTTCAGCAAATCTGTAGTAAATGCTCCTGGAATGCATTTACTGCATTTGGCTTTACTGCAAATGTGGTGGTGGTGGTGCAGGTGTCAAGTTCCCAGCACCAACTGCTTTGCTCTACAGATACCCTTGCAGTACATTGCACTAACTTGCTAATGTACACAAGAGTGTGAACATCGAAGCCTTGTTTTGTTGACAAACTATTGATCAGACCACTATATTCTGTTAGTTTAGCACTGAAGTTGTCATGGGTAGCAATAATAAAAGGGATTTGTTATTTGTTTCTCCCAGAAGTATTTAAGCATTTTTCTCCCAGTTGAATTTAAACTTCTGCTGGCACAATTGCAAGCATTTAGCTTGTGTGACTGTAATTAATTGGAATGGCAGCAGTGCCAACCATGCACTGTCACACAAGAGAGCTTGCACTGATAAAAGTGAGCCTCACTCAGGGACTAATAGCTTTTATTGGTTTCTGGTTTTATGCCCACATATGTTTGCTTAACTATGTTACTGAAATAAGTAGTAGATCTGTGGGTTTTGTAGCATAATAAAGGTCTTATATGTGTCTGATTACTTAAAAAGAAGTCTTTAAAAAATAATAAGCATGTTTTGTTCTATTTTACAAGAGTGCTGGGTGACAGATTTAGGGTGTAATTGTGAAATAGTGAGTCAGTGACTAAATTCCTTGTTCCTCTGAAGTCAGGTGATGTGGGATTAAACCACAAAGAGTTCAAACTGGAATGTAGCTGAGTCAGTCACAGAAACCCTTGAAATACTGGTACAAAAAAAGGGAGCAGCACTAATCCAGCACTGTGGTAATTACCCTGCTCAGATTCTGTGGTTTTTTTGAGTCATGTGGATAAAGGTTTTAGGAACCTCACATTGCTTTGCATAATCCTTGCTTACTATGTAAATCCGTGTCTCGATTTGCTTTGATTAGCAAAGCAATTTACTACATGTTTTTTCAATAAATGTTAATCAATTTGTGGTAGGAATAAACTGAAATGGTGTATGAAGGGTTGTCAGAGTGCAAAAACATTTATTGTATACATTGATAATACCGTGCATTTAAACCCCATTTCTTTCCTATAAAATAGTCTCGTAAATTTCCAGAAATTGCAGAGGGAAGTTTGTCTTGTTAACCCAACTGTTGAGATCTGAGTTTCTGAAAGTCAATTTGCTATGCATGGGTCAGCTTTAAATTGAAGCATCAAATATTTTCATCTTTGATCCACTGGAGAGCGTGCAGTGGAGTCTGCGAAGTCACGTCTGTATTCTCATATTCATGTCTCAGTCTAAGAGTTTTGGAAGACTCCATCTCTTAATTTTCTAGCTCCGTTGCCCTGGGTAGTTCCTTGACACTGAGTTGCTGCTGGTAAGATTTTTGCCCTTGCTAGTGCAAAGTTTAAAGCTATGGTCTAAGTAACATTGCTGCATAATGATGCCTTGGTGACCACAGTAATGAGGAATGGAGACAGGAGAAACAAAACTGGCTTCACCTTTGTGCTACTTTCTTCTTATGTCTCTCTCAATTTTTTTTCTTTGCAAGCGAGAGGCTGACCGTAACCAGGAGCTGCTCACACGCATAAAGCAATATCAGGAAAGGGAAACAGAAGCTGAAAATAAACTGAAAGAACAAATGGAGATGAACAAATCCTATAAGAAGAGCATGGAGACAATGAGTAAGAAGCTGCAAGAGAAGGAGAGCAAATTAGCTGAAGCTAATGAAGTAAGAACAGAGTAATTTTTTAATCCGTTCGTAGCTTCAGGTGACTTTGCAGTTCTTGTGAATTGAAAATACCCTTTCTGATTTAAAAAAAATAAAATAAAATTGGAATCACTATGTTCATCATCTGGAAATGAATAAGCCCTGGTGGTGTGCATCTTTGCTGTCAAAGTTTAGAACCTAACCAAGTCCAGACATGAGTGAGCAGGTCAGAAGATGTTGCTGTGTTAATTAACAATGAGAAGAGATTTCTTAGACAAGTTGATATGGAGAAGGAGAAAAGAAGTGCAAGGCAACATGCAGCATCTAGGTTTAGAAGTCAGGCTACATGACATTGAGTAGAAAGGGGAAACGATGGAGGAGATAAGATGGGAAGGTGTTCAGGGAAGTAGGGATAACTGCAGAGTGGATGACACCAAAGTTATGTACCAAGTATGTCTTCTGAAGTGTCTTAAATGCCTCTGTGTTCCACTGTAGAATGAATGCTTGAATAATAATTTCAGTTCTTTTGGATGAACAGACCATCTTCTCAACCCTCAGCCTTCTCAGATATCATTATAGTTAAGTTCAGCTAGTTCATTTGTAACTTTTCTGTTTAATTTGGTTTCCTGCACCAGTTGTGGATCAACAACCACTAAGTCCTTAAGCCTTCTTCCTGCCTAGGCATTCCTGGAAATGTATCTATGTGATAAAGCAGGTAAACAGCTTTAACGTGCCAGTTATCAGTGATAAAAACAGGGAGACAGTGATGGCATGTGGGAGAAAAGAAACCTATGTATGAAATGTGTGCAGCAGTTCTATTTCTGTATTCGTTTTGTATCCACATCCATCAGTATCAAGATGAGAACCCTACATGTGTCTCTATCTAGAAAACACCCTACATATGTGATGTTTTGAGATTTTTCTCTTTCTCTCTGTTAAAGGGAGCCGAGTAATGGCTATTTGAAGCAAATCTGTGAATTTTTCTTTAGAGTTAAAATATTTAGAGCAAAAATTTAAAAACTACTGGTCTCTACTTTTAAGGAAAGCATAATACAGCTGGTATTTGGTTGGGGCAAATCCAGACATTTTCAATTTTGAAACCCAGACAAAATATATTGGGAATGGTTGTGGGATAATTTTTTTACTTTAATATATACACTTATGTTTTATCATCATTTAGCTTTGAAGCTTGATATTTTCCTGTCAGTTTGAGGTCACCCACTTAATAGGTAATGGAAATGACAATTCGGGTGACACATGAAAGTGACTAAATGATTTTCTCTTGCCTTTGTTTTTGAGGTAATTTTGCAGGTCTGAAGGTTTGCAAGAGGATTATTTCTAGATTCAGTGTTTGTACTTTTTAGTTGGATATGATTTCTGTCTGTCACTATCCATAATGTCCATCTTGGAGAGTCATAGCCTTGTGTGTTTATTCTTTCTTTCCATTAATTCAGACAATCACTATATTAAAAGGGAAAATATCAGAGCTGCAATGGAATATAATGAATCAAGAGATGCAGATGACAAGCCAAGACTCTCAAAAGCAGGAACTGATGGAACAGCTGGATGTTCAGCAAAAGTAAGCAGGGGATGATGAATGACTGTAGGGAGAAAAAGGCAAATAAAACTTCAGTCTTTTGCAGCTGTTGTCACTCAGAGAACTTTCAACAGTGTTTGATTTCCGCTCTTCAAAGGGGTTCTTTGATCTGGATGTGCAGGTTATAACTGTTGTTTGAAACTAGCTCTGAGGTGCAATTTAATTGTACCTTGAGAAAAAAAAATACTTGAGCTTAAAATCTCAGCGATGTCTCATGTTCATGGTAGAGAGTTAACAGAAGGCATGTGGGTGGGAAAGGCTAATCTGAACTTTATAGACTGAACAGAACAAAAATATCAAGCCTTAAATCATAGTTGAGGAATAGTTGAAAGATATTTTTCCTTGCTTACTAAGTTCAACTCTTCAATTTCAAAGGTGCTTTTTATTTACTGTGAGTGTATATTTGTTGGTTTCAGAGTTAAGGTGGCTTGATTTTTTTTTTTTTGATATTTCTCAAGATGCATCTTTTTATTAAAATGGGTATTTTTGTCTCTAATTTAGAGAGAGACGTTATAAGTGTGAAACTGTGCGAGAGACAATCTTCTATAACAGTACCATATACCTCGTTAGTGGTGTTTGAAACTTTGTCAGAGATGCTTCTGCATGTAGGTTGTTTCTGGTACGTGATTCCTGGGTGGTAAATGGCTCTTGTGTCTACGTTTAATAGAAAATGGCAAGAGGCTAGTCAGCAAATCCAGACATTGCAAGCAAGCCAATCCCTACTGTCAGAATATGAACAGAAGATTAAGGTAAGAAACTTTGTGGCCTATATAAAGCTTTAATTTTTAATTTATTCCATGGAAGAACAGAACAATGTTTTTAAAAAAAATGACTATTGCAGAAATAAAAGGTTAGTCTGTCATATAAGAATCTGATCCGGTGGCCAGCAAGAGCAGAAGTTGGCTAAATTCAATTGGATGGACGAGGCTACCTACAGTTAGCTAAATTCAGATGGATGGACCAGGCTACCTAAAATTAGCTGTAATGTGATGTTCTTCACCTTTGTTGTATCAATTGATTGGAAAAATTACCCACCCATGCTTTCTCCATGGAAAGGTGATTTATATCCTTATGCAGTGCTCTGGAGGAATGCTCTGTTTGGTCTCATGCCAGAGCACAAGATTGCGTTGCAAAAGATTGCTTCTAGAGCAATCTTTTTTCAAATGGTGGAGGATGAACCTAGCAGCTACAGTTACTTTTCTGTTTCCCAGAAAATCCTTCCTCTGGAGTTGGGATTAGCTCTTTTAGAAAGTGCAATTAGTTGCAAAGCTTTCAAAACCACACTGATTTAAATGTGAGTATAGAGATGCTTTATGTTCTTTCAAATTAACATGTACGTTGGTGGGAGTGTAGCTTTTACACTCATCTTCCTGGGAGAAATAGATCTGGAGAGTTACTTTGGTTTGAGCAGATGCTGATAGTGGCATTGCCTGTGGTTGGTGTCAAGTAAAGCTGCACTGAATGCCAGCCACATTGTTTGTTCTGCGATTGCAAGAAGAGACTTCCTTCATTGAAGGAAAAGGTCGGGAAACAGGATATCAGACTGCAATACAGCTCTAAATAAACTTTTTTTTTTTTTTTTTTTTGAGGAAAAAAAAGCAACGTTTATCATAATGTTAAAATGCATGGTTGTGTTTCTTTTCATTCCTAATTCTTGCAGGTCATCCAAGTGCCCCTCTCTGCACTTCACTGACAGAGGGATAGAGGACAAGAAAACCACAGATTTGGTTTTGTCAATAGAAGGAGGTCCTTTTAATGATTAGCAGAGATCTTTTTTTTGTTATGAACTTAGGCTAAACAGGTGTAGAGAGGAGGTCAGCCCAGGTGTTACAAGTGGAACAAGAGTCATCCCTAGTTTGAGCAATGGATTGGACCAGATGACCTACTGAGTTTCCTTCCAACTTTATTCAAGTCATTGATTTGAGTTTAAAAAGTACAATGGCAAAGTAGCTCTTATGAGTTCCAAGTTAATCATTGCTGTCCTCTTGTCATCCCATGTTTTCCAGGATCTGGAACAGAAGTTCTCCCAGCAGGAACACGATGCTCTAATTGTCAAGAACATGAAGGCAGAACTGGCCCGTTTCCCAAAAATGGAGCGGGAATTGCGCCAACTCAGGGAGGAAAATGCCTACTTCAGGTGAAAGAAGGGTTCAGTTATTGAGAGGGTTATCTTGTGTTCTGCCGTACCTGCTACAATTGCACTATATGCACTTTCAAATCGCTCTATTGAGCTTTGATATGGGAAACTTTAGAAGGATGTTTAAATATTTCATATAAATACTGTATGTGAATTGAGCAGTGTTGTGATGGTTACTAGATGAGAGGATTTGACAAGATCTGGGTAATCTTCCTGAACACAGCAAGAGCCTCACAGAATGCGTATTGATCATTCTGGATAGTGATATCCGTTTGTTAGAAAAAAATTCAATGTTTAAAGATAGTGATCAACTCTGTACAGCTTTGGGAAAGAAATCCTTGTAGAGAGAAGAGACAGCTGAACATTTCTTTAATAACTGTTTTTGCTTAGTTATTGTTACTGCTATTTTAAGGGCCTGTTATTCTAGCATAATGTTTAGAAAGTCTTTTGTTTAAATTTCTAAAGATCTCTGATATAGCTGTTGGTACAGTAGACTTTCTGGGTTTCTGAAGTGGCAATTAATTTGAAAAATTAATTTCCTAAGTGCTATGAAATAACTTGCCTTAAAGTGGTTTTTTTTGTTTTTTTTTTTGTTAAGGGTAAACTTAATTTCTATCTTTCAGTGCATCTTAAAAAAAAAAAAAAGGAAAACAAGCCTAAATTACATGAGTGATCTTGCCAGCTTTTTCTTATTCTAAAATTAAGTAACTTGGGTTTGTTCTTGTTTCATTATCGTTTTAAATTCCTTATCTTGGAATCTTTTCTCATGCTTGTTTTTTGTGAACAGAAGCATGATATCAACAGATTAAAGGTCATTTTTTAAAAACAGTTTTATCTCAACTTTGCACACCTCTATTAAAGTAGAAACAAGCAGTCTCAATGCTTGCTCAGTCATCACAGAGTACTCAAAAAGCTGGAGTATCTACCGCTTGCTGTTTTGCCAATTGGTAAAGCAGATACAAAGCTTCAGGTTGTTTGGACATAATTAGGATGGCACTAGAAAAATATCAGTTCAGTAAAGCTACAGTTTTTATGTAGCAGTGGCTTTGCAGTGAAGGTTGTAGAAATAAGTTAGTTGAATGTCTGTTCAGTGTCATATGATTCCCTTGTAATTCCATGTGTATCTGGAAGTTTGTGAGAGTGAATTGAGTTGCATGGCACTTTAATTGTTGTCTCTTTTCACCATAGGGAAATGAAAGAAAACAATGGATTGCTTAAAGAGGAGGTAGAAGGTCTCCAAAGAAAACTGGAACGCTATGAGAAAGTCCAAGCACAGCTAGTGACTGTTGAATTGGAAAATGAGGTGAGGAGCTGGGAACGTTTGGAGGACGAGCAGAATAGGGGTTTCCTTTGTGTCCTGTCTGTCTTGTAGGGTCTTCCTGTATTGTGTTAGTTGAGATATGATACCAGTTTTAATTAATGGGTTCGAACCAGGCATTCCCAAACTTAAATGTCAGCATGAAGGGAACTATGGCAGTAAAAGTGAAAAAGGCAAAAGGATATCTACTGTTCAGCTGGAGATTTTGTGTAAAGAACAATCTCATCATAGTGTCTTTTTTGGCCTTGCTGTTTCTCTTTTACCTTTCTTCTGCTGGAAATGCTTTTTTTGGCGTTAAGCTCTGCCCAGACATGGTGTTGCCAAACAGGCACGTGGTAAGGACCTTGATACACACTTGGATTGCTGCTAATGCTAGCAGGGCCAGAATGTGGTCTCAGATGAATAAAATTGTCTTGCTTCCATCCCACCCTATATCAAGCATACAGCAAATTGTCAAGAGATTAACCTAATTGTGTAAACTGCTTGATCTGCAGAACTATACTGGTGTCTGATCAGGTTTAGATAATGCTATTTGGTATTGACTGAAAGTAAAAAGTTACAGGAGAAACTGGAAGAGGAGAAATGGGCACTTCAGCTGCTACAGAACCAGTGTTGAGAATACAGCTTGTTTTCTTCTCTGCTGCCAAGAATCTAGTTTACTAAGGTCTACAGTGATGGTGGCTCACAGGGTTAGATAATCTATAGTGCTGAAGTATAACATGGGTTCTGTGTGTCATAGAGCTGTGGTGACAAGGAAAATGTTTGTGAGGACTGGAGAATGGCAAACCAAAGTGCTAGATAAGCAGATAATGAAATCCACAGGAGGAAAAGGAAAGACACTGACTTTGAATGGAGGATTATGAGAAAACTGTGTGGAAAATGAGCTGTTAGAACATTTGTCTGTCTTTAATTCTTCATTTGATCTCTACTTTAGAAACTTCTGGGAAAATTAAAAAGCTGGGAGAAACTGGACCAGAGCACTGGCTTGAATATCAGGTATGTGCTCAGAGCTCTGGAGGAAGGTAAAACTTTTAAACCACTTTCCTTTCCTCTTCATCAGCTTATCCCTGAAGTGTGTTGGTCATACTTTCTTGCTATTTCTTCTTCATGTGGAAGCTCTTACATTACTTTTTATTACATATGAGAAGAACCATAGAATACACAGTTATAAAGTATCTTTGGGCACTAACAAATGTTTTTCACTGAGTCAGCTTGACCAATGTCTATGAGGCCGAGGTTCAGTTTTGAGTTCTTTGAACTTCTTGAATATAGCTACATTCATGTTTAGTTAGAGATTCTGCTAGCTTAATAAGTGAACCTTTAAGAATTTTAGGATATGTCCAGAGAAGAAAATGCATGTTACTTGTGACAAATTGTTGTAAATATGAGTTCTGTGAAAAGTGGATATCAAAATAAACTGCCAGATCATGTTGTTGTGACTTTTCTTCCCTAAAGCAGCTGAAGAACAGTTAACAACTTAGTTATTTTGTCAAATGAGAAATGGAGTAAACTCAGTTTCTTATAAAAGGGGGGGAAAAACCCCTGCCCCCCTAATCGAGTTTTGTAACACTAGCTAGTCTCTTTGTGTACTGTTACTTAACGACTCTGACATCTGGAGCATTGAACCAGATTTTTTAAGGTCTCTGGTATGTATGTGGTATAAAGAAGGGCTGGAAATGGTACATCATCTGATCATTTTCTTCCACTGCAGAAGGTTTTCTGTGTAGCTACAGTGTTTTTATGTGTCATATGTTTCAGTACTGCTTTATTTTCTTTAAATATTTACATTATTGTTACACTAGAAGGAGAGATGTTTCTTTGTAAATAACTGTCTTGATGTGAGCATTATAGTACAGATCACCTTTCATATTGGATCAAGGCCTGAGCTGCAACATGAACTGCAGAACCTAATTTTACCATTTGTTTTTTTCCCATTCATTACACGTGCCCAACAACAGAGCTATGTCTGCGCACTGCTGGGATTGTTTGGAAGTGGGAGTGTTTGGATATGCACGTATGGTTTGGGCACATTACTGCTTCATGTAAAAGATACTTGTGTTCGACTTGGGAAAGCCCCCTTAATTTTCTCAGTGTTTCCTGCTTAATGAGGATAATGAACCTTTTTCTAGAGGCATGCTAGTAGGTAGCATGCTTGAGATTCTCTCTTGCATCTGCTGAGGATACATACATTTAGATGAAGTTAGAATTGTGCTAAATCTCCTATGGCAAGGAATGGACAGAAATAGTACAAATCCTTTTCACAAAACCTGTTCTGTCAGACAGTGGGGTAAAAGCTTTTTACTTACCTCAAGCTGTTAAAGGTTTAATGAGGTAATTTCACACTGGGAGAGAAATGGAACCAAGTGATTCTGCCTGTTGAAGTCTAATAACTCCTTCATTTAAAATCAGAATATTCACTGTAAAGTGTTAGGTTTTTGATTGGGCCATATTGTTTAGTGCTATTAATGGCGTCTTCTCATACAGAAAAGGGGATTGTTCTTGAGAAAAATAATCTTTTGCATGCAATTGTAGCAAGTGGAACAGGATGATCCGCCCCCTTCCCCCCCCCCCCCCCTTTTTTTTTCCCCTCAGACTTCTTACAGCGTGAATTACGTTAATTTTCAGTCAGGGTTATGAAGATGATGAGAGATCGTTGTCCCAGTTATGTTCCTGGCGTATGCTGTTGGTAAAAGTTCGAGTTAATTGCCCATCTCATAGTAGAAGAAACTAGGAACAAGTGATGGTTGTCCCAAAGAGCCAGAGCAATGTGCTGTTTGCTAATAACTAGATAAGGAAGGAAAAAGGGAATGCATTAGGATTTCTCATCTTTTCTTATCATGTTCTTCATTGGTACAAAGAATGTAAGGGAAGTGCATACAGCATGTGGTGTTTTAGGAGAGGATGGGTTTTCATTTCCTTCAGCCCTTCCACAGGGCTTGTTCTGTGTCTGCTCTCAGTGGTTTCTGTTCACTGATTGCCTGGTCCCAGCAGGCTTCTTGTCAGATTGGCTTATGATCAGACCTTTCAGTGTAATTTTATGTAATAATACTTGGAAAGGAGGTGCAGCTTTTAGGACTGTGGTGGTAATCCTACTGGTTTTAGTACTGGTATCTTTTTGGTAACAATGAAAGAGCTAAGTATTTCTAATGCTTCACCTTTTGGGGGGAAAACAAGTTCATTAACAGTTTACTCAAAGGCTAATCTTATGTTTGCTAGTTCTGGATTCTACTTGTAAGCTCCTGGGTTTTCCTCTTGCTCTCTTAAACTATGGAAACAAAGACAGCTTTAGCTCTAGAGCACGTTGGTGTGTTTGCATTGCTGTTGTGCAGTGTTCTTTCCAGAATTTACCCTTGGAATTACGCCTGCCTTACACAAACGTTATATAATATACTTGTCAGCTGCACAATACCCAGATAATAAAATAATACACACCATAGTTATGTATGGTTCATGTATAAACATTGTGAATCTACATAATCATTTTTGTGTTCAGTTATATGTCCTTTTGATATCTTGATCTTCTTCCTGCATACTTTCCGGTATAGTTGGCTCTGTCTTTTATCATGGATGTAGTTTTGTCTTGTAGGTCTTTTTTCTATGTTACTGTTATGCTGCCAGGGATTTTCATACATTTGTCATGTCTTGCTCTGACTTGATACTCCTGCTGTAGGATTTGGTTTCAACTGTAAAAGGAAAGAACACTAAATTTTGAAATTCTTGCTTTGTGAGTAGAAGGTCCTATTTATTTGGGAGTTTACTGTCTTTGAGAAGAATATTCGTGCATGGCTGTTGTAGGACTTTGTTATTAGAAAAGAGTTGTGTGGAGAAAACAATCTGCTTATACTCTGTCACTCCAGGATGTGCTGATGCAGTTTGTATTTCTTCAAAATCTGGTATTTGTGTAATTGAGTTGTTCACCATCTTCACTGTCATGTTAATAACGACAGACTTGGATGTTTTTTCAGAGTTGGACTATTAGCTTAGAGATGTTTTCCAGGTAGTTTCTTGACTGCTATTATGCAACATGTATTTTAACAGAAAAATATTTCTGGAAGGTTGTGTGTGAGAGAAGGTGGGTGCTTTATTTGGATGACAGTGTGCAAAACCATCCACGAGATGGCATTCTTTCTCCTGCTGCTGGAGAAAACTGGTTTTCTGCTCCAGTCTGGCAGGCTCAGCCTAATGTGAAAACCATCAGCTGGGCACCTTAAGAAGGGTCAGCTAGTCTAAGGAAAATTGTTCACTGTTGCTATCAAGCCTTTTAAAATCTGTTTAATGCTACATGCATGCAATCACTGTCTCCTTGTCTAGTACTTAGGGTAGTAACTTGGTATGAAAAAAATCTGCATATTTCTCTAATGGCAGAGTGTTTTTCCAACCAACTCTGTAAACCTCATATTTACACCACACATCCTTCATTTTTTCTTGTTTAATAGGAACTCTTCACAGCCTGGTTCTTTCCTCCCCACCCACAGCCTTAGAATTGCATCCTGTAGAGCAGCACTGTTATTCTGACTTTCCCTTCTGCGGCAGAATATACCCAAATAAAAAATGAGGGTTCTTGTTCTGTGAGCTTTTAATCTAAATGAACCTTTTTTGCTGCTGCTTGTGTATGTTTGGCTGGTATTGCCTTTGTCCTCTGATGAATTAGCCAGGTGATTTTGCTATCCATAAACAGATATACCCTGGAGTACAGAACGATGCAAAATTATGTGCATCAGGTATGTCTTAAAGATGAGGCAGTTAGTGAGATATTGATAGTCTTTGATAGCAGCTGACAAGGATTAATGCTAAATTTGTCTTTGTATTTATCCATAAGTGGCAGAAAACTGCAAGTTTTGAAAAGTTGAAGTTCTTCTGAAAAGTTATCCAAATTTGTGAAGGCTGACAGGTAGACCATAAGCAACAGCTTCAGAGGAGTTTTAGTCCAAGCATTTTTTTTAGAGAAAATATAGTAATGTGTGACGTGGGGTTTGTTGTTCTTTTTGTTTGTTTGTTTTTGTTTATTTGTTTTTTGTTTTGCATTTTTTAATTGGAAGTAGTGACTACTTGAAGTTTTTACATTTTCACCTGCTGGGCTCAAAGATCTTTGTATACACAGCAGAATTATTTTATATCAGTGATAGATTTTTGGTGTTAATCAAGGATTGGAAGGCGATAAAATATCTTGATAATGACCTATTTAAGTAGGTCTTTGCTTTTTGGGGCACCATTTTCTGTTGCAAGTAGTACTGTGGAAGATAAAGCAAAACATTTTGTTCATATTGCTTTTCAGAATCAGTTTGTTTTCCATGCCCATCACAGGGAAGCAATGGAGAGATCAGGTGTTTTTTTCTGAAGAGCCATGGAATACAGTATGGAAATTAAAGGTGAGGCTGACATATCAGAAAGAAAAGTAGTGTGCTTGGACTCTTCTGTGTTGTTCAGAGGTTCCAGTCTTGGTCTTGGATGTTCTTGAGTTGCATCTAATTGTGGTTATATTGGAAAGCAGGTCTCAGCCCCCTGATGCCTACAGTGTAAGACTGACCTGGAGGAACTCTTAGGTTTAATGAAGCATGGGTTTGGACAGTACCTATAGTCGTCCTTCAGTCTGCAAGGGTAAATTTAGTTGGCTTCAGTGATGATATCTCATTAAGTTGCTGTAGCTATTTCGCATGCTTGCTGTCCAGGCCTGTAAAGAGAAGTGCAGATTTGACAGGAATTCAGGCCAATGCTTAAGGACCATAGTGGAGCCTGCCAGCTGCAGACACTGATCTGCTGACCTGTCGCCTAGAGCCAAAGAAGTGAACCTGTTAATGCTGACCTGGTTTTCTTTCTGAAACATCTGTGGGTTGGCTGGCTGACAAATCTTGGGGACTAGCTTCCTGCAATGTCTGAGACCAATTAAGAAGAGGAGATAGTGTGAATGTGTATGCATTTCCTCTCTAAGAAAGGGTTTAATTAAGTGGCAAGCATCTCTATTTAGTACAGTGGTTAGCACAGTTGTAATTTGTAAT